TAATGCGGAGGGCCATCTTGTCAACACAAATTTCAAGCGTTTTATGGTTTGAAAGCAATAAGGAGGCACATACATAGCTTCCCCTCTAGACTTGTCACGTATATTTTTGAAGGACCAATTCTCCCAAGGGTACATCTTGTGTGTATATATATATGTGTGTTTGTGTGTGAGTGGGTGTAAATCAGAAAATCTCGGCCATTTACTATATTTACTCGAAATGGCCCGAGTTGTTTATTACGTGCGAACCAGTACCGTGAATATATTTTATTTTAAGGTGAATTTATATGCAACAGTTTATGATGTTGTGATTGACTTTGTAAATTGAATTGATCAATAAACAAAATACTTCCCTTGATTATGGTACCTTAGCATAGATTTTGTGCATTGGGATCTACAGAGAATAACAAAGAACCATATGACAAGTAGGTATAACCGACAACTCGCTGAAGGTAATATCTTTAAATGTAATGTATATATAAGATATGCATATCATGCTAAACTTTTATCGCAGTGCTAAAAGTCTGCCAATAGAAACAACTGAAAAATATCATGCAAAAAAGTATTTTACCGTAATTAGCCTTAATTTGTATACACTCATTCTAAAACTTACAGAAAGAAGTTACAGTTACTTTTAACTCAGTACTTTGTAAGTTTTATTGAAGTAAGTTTATCGGATTGAATGTGATATTTTCTTGTGTATTTTTATTATATTACTGATGTCCACAAATATTTAACTTTCTGTTGTTGTTGATCTTTAGGCTTGTATAATCAACCCAGTTATCCAAATTAACTATGTTGAATTTTGTAAAGTTACGTCCTCGAAAACAAGGTCACTGCCTCATTACGACAGTGACCTGCGTGACCTCGTACATTCAGTGTTCTGTGTAAGCGATATTTATTTGGTATGCCATATAAATAACTAGGTAGTAAATATTCTTGTCACACCGACTTAGATATCGGCATGTATAGTATAAAGCAAGTGAAACTCACGATGATTTTTTTAGTCAAATACGTGAAGGCTCCATCACGGCAATAATTAAAAATTAACTGTCATTATTTTTGTAATCTGATACGCCAAGTGAAGTGCAAGCTAAACGTACCATGTTAATCACTATATCTAGTGGTTACTCTTGAAACGATAAATGTAATTTCAAAAGCATGTAAACATTGTAAACATTAGGCTCTTTCCAATCACAAAACATATAGTTCCCCCCCCCCATTGGTACAGCGGTGTGTCTGCGGATTTACAACGATAGAATCCGGGTTTCGATACCCGTGGTGGGCAGAGCACAATAGTCCATTGTGTAGCTTTGTGCTTAACTTCAAACAAGCTCAAACATATAGTTTGCAATACAAAATTCAGACATCAGTATCTGAAATGTTTCTAACGTTATGCTGAAACGGAAATATTTTCAGCATTCCCATGCGTACATATCAAGAACTTGATTATCGTAACCTAAACTCTGGAATATGATGTATAAAAACTGGACTTGTATTACCTGATTTAATATTTTGAAATGTTTAACGTAATAAGATATAGGATGTAATGGGTATCAGATAAATGTAAAAAAAAAAAAAAGAAGAAAAGGAATAAGCCGACTGACTACAAGAACTGAAAATAAGATAAGAAGCGGAAACAAGGGACAAGACCAAACAGGAATTGGGGACAACAGTAGAAGAGAAGAGAAGGTCACAACAAGTTAAACTGCGTGAGGATAAAGAATGAATGACAACTTTTTAAAGAACAGTAGAAGATGTCTTCAAGAAGCATGATTCTAAGAAATTTTTCTTTAGACTGAAGGTCCGAGACCCTGTGAGAGCATCAGACGGACAGACGTTACTGATGGATAAATATCAAACATTGGAAAGAATTGATGGAAGAGCATTTCGACACACTACTGAACCATGAAGAGTCTCAATACACAAATATAAACCCTGCAAAGAATTGAAAACCTTCAGGTAGTAGACGCAGGCCTTAGGATGGATGTGCACGAGGAGAAAGTTAAAAAATGCAAAAGAACAGTTAATAAAAAAATGGAGAAGGCGCCAGGAGTTGATAATTTACCTCTGTGACTGGTTAAGTTTGGGGGAAATGAATTAAAAAAGAGAATAAGAAGAGTGATTCAGGCTAGATGGAAAACAAAAAGGATATCGGATGTTTCGAGCAAGATTGTTATGGTATAACAAGAAATATAACAGAGAAGAATAACAATAGAGCAAGAGGGATAAGTTTACTAAGCGCAGCGGGAAAATATTTCTGCAACAGTTCTGTTGAACAGAATAATGGATATCATGGAGAAAGAAATGTGAGGCAACCAGTGTGCGATCAGGCATCCGCAACCAAACAGATTATAAAGAGAAAAGAACTACGGCGCGCACTAATATCAGCTAATACTGATTTATCGAAAGTTTATACTGACGTACTAAAACGAAGAAGGTGTAATTGTGAAAAACACCATAATCCGAGGTCTGGAGTATGTAGATGAAACAGTACTGTTTATACTGTGTTAGCCACCCTCCTCGGAAGGTTTAGTCATCAAGTTGATAATTTCGTCTGGATTGTAAGTGAGCCAAGGACAAAATGTGTGAAACTCATGAGGAATAAACTAGCTGTGAAGGATGGATTGGGACTTGGGAAGAAAAGGATTGAGAAACTTGACAGTTTTATATGTTTAGGAAGTGAGGTATAAAACGAAAATATCAACTGTTGGCACTAGCATGAGGAACATTTAATAATTTGAATAAGTTACTGTGAAAACGAAGGGATATCAGCCTAAAGACCAAGATCAAAATGATTAATGCTACAATAACACTAGTTATGCTGAATGGGTAGAAAGTTGTACATGGACAAAACAGCAGGAACAGAGATCGAATAGTTTCGATGGTATGTGCCTAAAATGTATTTGTAGGAATAAGTTGGTATCAGAGGATGGCAAAAAAGGAGGTGCGAAGAATGGCAAAGGAGAGGTGTTAACCTAAACAGGATGTGTATGGAACAAAGCTTGGAAAAAAAGGTGAGCGATGGTAATTGCATGGAAAAATATCAAGAGGAAGGCCAAAAAGAAGGTGGGAGGATGGCATGAGATGGCGAAGAGGAGAGGAAAGCAAGAAGACCTGGAAGACCAACTACAGAATATGGCAGCCAGACTAATTAGGGTGAAAGGCGCAACGCTGAACCGGTGGGTGCGTATGACTGTACATTATCGTTTGGTAGCTTAGGAAACATCACAATAAGTTCTGGAACTTGTACTATCTGCATGGTGACTAAACACTCTAATATGCTTTTTACTGAGACTTCAATACTACTATTGTTTAGTCACTACTATTTCATTAATGATTTTTACGTCAAGTTAAAATTAACTATATTGTGTTATTTGTAATGTAAATAATTGTTTGATCCTTTTTTCTTTAATGTAAATCGAAGATTTTTCCTTGAAAAAACGAATAACTAGCTCAATCTAGAACGACATAGAATTATTAACATTATACAGTGATTATGTTTCTGATGATAATTCATTTTTTGTTTGTTTAATGAATTTTGTGCAAAACTACTCGAGGGATATCTGCCCTAGCCGTCCCTAATTTAGAAGCGATAGACTAGAGGGAAGGCAACTAGTCAACACCACCTACAGCCAACTCTTGGGTTACTCTTTTACTAACGAAAAGCTGGATTAGCCATCATATTCGATGACGGTAATCGAACTCGCGACAAGGAAAATTTATGGGTGCCACAGTTCCAAACGGATAAAGTTTTTACAAAAAAAAAAGTATACAATGAAAGCTAAGATTCAAAGTAAACGGCAAATAAATTAACTTAAAGCTTCACAGCCCAGTGTACCGTTTTAGCCGAAGTTTCGTTCAGTGTCTACGATTCTTCGAGACAGGCGTAGTAAACTTTATGTTAGTGACACTAGGTATTATTAAGAAACGTGAATATTTTAAGACAAGTTACTGGTTTTAGTTTCTCGAGAAAGTTCAGTTCAATAAGTTTTGTTGATTTGTAGAAATCACTACAATAGAGTTATTACAGCTTGGATATCCTTTAAACAAGTCTGTGACTTGACTCATCTATTAACCCAAATAAGATCAACTGAAAGCTCAGTACATAATACTACCTTCTCATGGCTGGAAGGTGCTTGAAACATACATTCAAATAGCAGAAATAAACCTTTAAATAAACTCTTCTGTACGTGTCGACTTTCTAATTACAGCTAATACATCAAAACATTTTCTGATTGGTGTTACATACAGTTGAGAGAGAGAGTATTCAAATAGTCCCAGAAATGTTGAATTAGTTTTATTCATTTTTTACTTATGGAGATAAGTCAAAAGACTTTCAGTTTAGCCTAGGATCCTGTAAGAATTTTTGTATAATAAAAATATATCTTTGTTTCAAATCCTTGTCGTACAATAAAAAATGGAAAGAAAAAAAAAGGAAAATAAGCATCTTGTGAAAATGTTTGTTTTTTCTTTGTAGCTTTTCACACTTCTTTCATAACAAATTTTATCTGTAAGCTATATGAGAAGTGGCAAACGTTACATAGATGGTGGTTAAATCATTGTATCACACATATAAGGATAAACAGTTGATGTAGGAGTAAAATCATTATTTGGTAATACCCATTAGTCTGCAATGAAACTGAAAATCATATTACTTTCATGTTTCGTTCTAACTTGAGGATTTTGTATGGTCTATTAATATTTGAACAGCCTTCTCTATCTATCACAGTTTATCTTTAAACTCTTTCTAAACGAAGTCTAACAATATATCATTGATATAAAAATCGTGGATGTGTGTTATAAAATCGTACACCAACGATTCTACGCTGCATTTGTTCCATATGTCGAGCTGAAGCAATACAGATATAAGTCAAATTTCAATGAATCTCGTATGTGCACAATGGTTGAAGATTTGTGACTGATACAATAAACACGGAGTGGTAATATTATAAGAGGCTAGATATAATTATTGCAGTTCTAACAAACACAAAGCGACTAACCTCGATTATTTCGTTGAGATCTTTGACGTAGGTTCGTTCGGTGTCCACAATTTCTAAAATGACGCGGTCGATAAGACCCAGGTTCGGATCATATGAAGTTTGTCGGGACGGGGAAGTGATAGTAGAGTTTTCTTCACTACCACCACATTCAGAGAGGCTACCAAGACTTCTTCTCTCTCTGGCATGGGGTAGCTGATCTCGAGAACAATGTGCACCTGTGCGTCCCTCCCCATATCTACTCACATCATCATCGTCATCCAGGCTTTCTATGCTGGCCAGGTAAGATTTTTTAACGTCTATACCATTGCGGGGAAGGGAAGACGACGAAGACGAGGACGAAGACGACACGGAACTCGTGCTGAGCGGCCTCTTTTTGCCCACAGTGTGATATGTGTCTGTAACAGACATACTCCGTCTGGATAAGATATTTCTCTCCCTACTGCTGGTTGCTGGCAGTCCTCCGGAAAGTTTCTCATCGTGAAGGGTTTTGTTGGAATAACTTGGCGACACTTCACCGAAGCTATTATTGGCTGTTTCATTTACCCCAGAGCTACCGAGGGCTTCTTTATCTGTACAGGCCTTATCCTGCTGCTCTTCAATCTTGTCTTTTCGTATGAGTGTATCATACATATCCATTAAACCAGAGCTGATCTCCACGGTCGTCCCTGGAAAAGATGAGATCATTAAATCACACAACAGTAAATACGTCCCTGGAAAACAGGAGACCATTAAATCACACAACAGTAAATACGTCCCTGGAAAACAGGAGACCATTAAATCACACAACAGTAAATACGTCCCTGGAAAACAGGAGACCATTAAATCACACAACAGTAAATACGTCCCTGGAAAAGATGAGATCATTAAATCACACAACAGTAAATACATCCCAGGAAAACAGGAGACCATTAAATCACACAACAGTAAATACATCCCAGGAAAAGATGAGATCATTAAATCACACAACAGTAAATACATCCCAGGAAAAGATGAGATCATTAAATCACACAACAGTAAATACATCCCAGGAAAAGATGAGATCATTAAATCACACAACAGTAAATACATCCCAGGAAAACAGGAGACCATTAAATCACACAACAGTAAATACACACACACATCGTTCAACTGGTCAAGTACCTTAGTACTTCAGATCTTCAATAATCAAATGATTAAAGTGTATCTGGATAATTTTAGGAAAGTACAATAAAGATGAATAACTCATCTATACTTTCGATCTTGAGAATAAACATGCAAGATTAACATTACATTCACGAATAAACATGTATCTTCTAACTTTCTGTTGTGTTCGTCATTAACGTTTCGAACGTACATATCATGTGTTGACAATCACATTCATCCAAATCTAGCTCTACTGGTATTTTGTGAATATCTTTCTTGGACAAACTAGATTTTATCCTAAGTTTAGCCCAGGTTTCAGTTACTACGACAAAAGTGATATAATGTTGTAATTATATATACGGTTATTTATGTTCAGTGGTTAGTACTTTTTATTATTTATCTAAACTTTGTAATATGTTTTGAAATCTAACAAAGAAAGATGCTATTTTAGAATGAATTATATATGCAATATCTACTGAGTGCAGTAAAACACGTATATGAAATAGCACTATTACTATATCAACATTAATTTCATATGCAATATTTTGGTTTATTTCCACAGGATATAATGAACCACATCTCAACATTAATATTTTCTGGGATTCGATCAAGACTCCCATGGAGGTGTTGAAAATGAGTGTTTATTTCTGTTTGTTCTTCAATGAACGGAGTGTAATCATAACTCAATACAAGGTGATACTATATATATTTAACACAAACAATAATCATAGAAAACCATTACTTGGCCAAAGACTTGTAGCTGATTATTTGCTACAACTATGGTACTTTTAACTACTCAAGCTACCCAGATCCTCTTAGCTGAAAAGTAAGCTTGAGAGGTTAAACGCCAAAATTGGGGTTAATCTTTGTGATGGGAAAAGCGGGGATAGCCTATTGTGCAGTTTTGGATTTAAAACAAAACAAACAAACTACCTACCTACAATCGATCCCTCAATAAAATATAAAATCCTTATTACTGCTTTGACGAATATGAAATGATTGACTGAAGTTATATTCTTAACTTACGGAGTCACACCAATTCAATAGCCATGACCGTTTGTCGTTTTCCAAAAATGAAATAGGTCCAACCGGATATTAGTAATACAGTCCTATAGTTCAGAGTACCGAAACCAAAAGTAAATAAAGTATACGTGAAATCTAGTTGTTGGGCCTGAAGAAAATCATTAGAGCCTTTTGTCATCTGATGTAAAGAGTTTTTGATTACTCCCAGCTGTGATAATATCTTGGAGAAATCTGAAAAGCGATAACATGAAGTCTTGAATGCGGTGTTTATAATTTTTCAACACAAATTCTGCTAAAATAACAATAAAAGTATCAGAAACTTTAGTCGGAAAGTTCATTTATTGAACTTAAAACCGAGTTGTATTGATTGGGATTAAATTAATCAAAATTAAGGAACTTAGAATAGAATATTTAAATTCATTTCTATGTTTCCTACACTTGGGTTATATTTCTATGTTTCCTACACTTGGGTTATATTTCTATGTTTCCTACACTTGAGTTATATTTCTATGTTTCCTACACTTGGGTTATATTTCTATGTTTCCTACACTTGAGTTATATTTCTATGTTTCCTACACTTGGGTTATAGTTCTATGTTTCCTACACTTGAGTTATATTTCTATGTTTCCTACACTTGGGTTATATTGCTATATTTCCTACACTTGGGTTATATTTCTATATTTCCTACACTTGGGTTATATTTCTATGTTTCCTACACTTGAGTTGTATTTCTATGTTTCCTACACTTAGGTTATATTTCTATGTTTCCTACACTTGAGTTATATTTCTATGTTTCCTACACTTGGGTTATATTTCTATGTTTCCTACACTTGAGTTATATTTCTATGTTTCCTACACTTGGGTTATATTTCTATGTTTCCTACACTTGGGTTATATTGCTATGTTTCCTACACTTGGGTTATATTTCTATGTTTCCTACACTTGTTATATTTCTATGTTTCCTACACTTGGGTTATATTTCTATGTTTCCTACACTTGGGTTATATTTCTATGTTTCCTACACTTGGGTTATATTTCGAAAGTGTTTGCTGAGACAGCCTTGATACTTGTTTGTGTCTTCCTTTTCCAAGGTCAGTTTATTATATACATGTACGTAGGATATATTGTGATCAGTAATACTGGAGTCCCAAAGATTACTCGCAAAACACAGTGTGGAAACATTCCTCAGATAAATGTATACAACAGTTTCTCTAAATGTCATACTATTCATTAAGTCTTTCTGAGCTGTTGACAGGCAGATTTCCCTTGATCATACATAATACTTCCTGCCATTAGTAACCAGTGTAACTCAATATCAGACGCCTCAGACTATTAAGTAAACCAAGGTTACCTTAAAACTGTAAGAAAACATTGATATATTTCTGTAGTAAGGCATTCATTCATTCATGGAAGAGGAAGATCTGATTCATGTAATTAAATATTGATGACACTCTCTTGGCGCCAAGGAATTCCACACCGGAAATAAAAGATATAGACACTGACAATTCGATGTTCGATAATTCTGATAAAAATGCAAGAACATGAACGTATTTCAAACTTGCATGAGTAACAGTCGATACGATAAATTATATTTTTTCAGTAATACCTGGGAAAACAATTTTTATATTTGTGAGTAAATAAATAGTCTATATTCAGATAATAATGAATATTTTTTCTGTAAAAATAACACCCACTATATATATATGTATAACATAGCTAGAGGTAACAGTCGAAAGGAAAAGTTTGGATCCATGAGTGGCAATTTATAAATATAATTTTAATCTAGAACTTCAATGAAATATACACCTTTCGGAGAATCACCGTAAAAGTGTTTTCGCGAAATACCAGGGTTCCCTAAGGGGTTGGGTGAAAAGTTTTTACCTTTTTGCAAACTCGGGGTCGAGACAATTCGTTTGGCACCAGTTAGAAGTTGGTGAGTCCAACAGTTTAGAAGAAGGGTTTTACAGGAAGTCTCTGAGTTCACCAAGGGGTGGGGTGAAAAATTTTGTCATTGTGCAAACACCAGGTCCGAGACGATTCGTGTGGTACCGCTTGGAAGTCGGTGCGACCAGCGGTTTAAGAAGAGTTACGTGACACACAGACACACACACGCAGAAACATACAGACACAGAATCTTATTATAATACATATATATAGATATCACTTGTCGCAATTGAAATAATACTCGAATTATAACGTGTAAGTGAAAAAAAGGGCACCAAATACGGTGTCTATAAGCATTAATCACAACACATAATTATTTTATCATGTTCATAAAATGGATGTAAATAATAATGTCACATTATTTTTCCATGTAAACAGTCCGCAAATATTACAAGTTTAAGCCTACTTCTAGATAGGATTATAGGACTGGCAAGCTGATTGTTCCCCTACTCTCAGGTGACTGCCCTTCAGGCTAAACACGATCAATTTTTGGTCACGTGCCCACACTCCTCACATGCTCCACAGGCACGGGCACGTGTGATCACAAATTTTATTCTTGAGTTGGTTTTACGATCCATGAGTATAAGTCCACAATGACTCCTAACACAGCCCTCGGGATAATTTATGACACACTGGGAGCATCTTCACAACTTTAAAAAACTTTAGGCATTTGACAGATTTCAAAATGCCATATTCCCATGGATTAACATAAACAACATTACACGAATAAAATGTCACATTTTCCAACACCTTTCGTCGTCTTTCTGACTGCGAGAGTTTCTAGACTTCAATAGAAACTTTTTTTATTTTACAATTTTACAGTTTTTGTGTTTATGACCACAGTTTCTAGGTTAGCAAGAAACGCCAAAAGGTACCTCTAGCACGAGATAGTTCACCCTATTAAAACTAAAGGTATTATATAAAGTTTACTTGGTTTTGTCATCCTAGGCTAACTTTGCCTACCAGACTGTTAACTTTACACACTCTACTGAGATGTTCACTTCATAATCATATCACATAAGGTCTGTACATTTATGATGTTAGAAAAACACGTAGGTTCAAGAAGTCTTAATAAAAATGAATAAAAAACCTTATAACCCGAGCGCTTTCGAAAGTGGATCTTTCTTCTTCAGGGACAAACTACAGGGTCTGTAGTCATCATGGTAAAACAACATAAGTTAAGGACTGTTCATTTTACACAGTCTACTGAGATGTCCACTTTTATTATCTTACTGGACTAAATATGGCATGAGACAACTCATCAATCCATAGTCCATATGTTGAGCTTCTTATGAGTTCTTAAAATGCTTGTCTACCAATGTTTCCGCGGCAAGTTTAAAGACTTACAGCGCTAAAATCCGGAGTTTAATTCCCCGCGGTGAACAGAGCTTGGGTGGCCCATTGTGTAGTTTTGTGCCAAAACTTATAATAATTCGTTTACCGTAAGCCTTGCCCTTTGTTTGAGAATACAAATATAATCACCGTAATCAACTGACACTGAAGAAGAAATATTAAACAACACTTTGTTAATGCAAACTGAAATATTTAGAATATTCGTGTAATTTTCACCGAATGA